GCAGTGGCCTTTCCAAAGGACTCTGGGTCGTCTGTATCGATGCCACAGAATCTATTCACCAGAGCCCCCACATCCCATCTGGCCTTATCTGTGCTCTCCTTCAGCCATTCTTTCGAGCTCGGTCACTTGGTTGCTGGCCCAGGGGTTAAACACAGATATCCTGACTGCGGTACCAAGTGACGGTTCACAAGGAGAAGAGACACTCTGAGAAGTAGATGCATTAACTTATCAAAGCGCAGAAGTGAAGGCAAGTGGGCACCCACATTTCAGTAAGCCAGAGCAGCATTATATCACAGCACAGTGTGATAACTGCCTTCATAACGGTGACACCGTGGTAAGGTCAAGACTCTCACTCGGTGTAAGAGGACAGTGGAAAGTGTAAATCTCTTTGGAAGAATTTTTTGGGAACAATGCTTTCAAATAAATAATTAACTCTCCAGATTTTTAGTGCTTAAGGAGCAAGATTATTATTAATTCATATGGCCACACATTAACATAAATCCTGTGTCCTTTAGGAATGTTGGATGAATGATACTTTCCATGCAAACACATCCCGTATCATTTATGTACAGAGATGTTCATATTTGACTAAGCACTCTGATCACGAGACGTTTCTCCTAGGGGCGCCAGGATCGGTTGTGAGAAGAGGTACACATTCATTTTAAATATTATGATCTCAGTGAAGGGGCACGTTGACCTTGTCTTGAATCCTGTTTTTTCCACTTACCAGCTCTGTGACTTGGGTTGATTATGAGCGTATGTGGACTTCACTTTGTATGCACACCCTTCGAGCGTCCGGCACAGAGACTGTGCGGGCAGGTGGGTGCTGATGGCCTGCTGGAGCCAGCTTGCCCCAGCCAGTGAGGGCCACTATACACATCCTCCCCGTCTCTGTTCAGTGGCATCACATCGGTAGCCTGCAATCAACCTGAGCGGGTATGTTTACACCATGGACATTGGCAAACACTATAAATTCAGAGCCTTTTTTCCTGCAAAGCCAGTTTTTAAACATTTCCTGGCTCATTATCTAATCACTATGAACCTCTATATCTTTTCCCGTGATCAAGTCTGTCATCGGAGTTGGTCTTTCTGCTGTGCTTTGGTTCATCCTGCATCAGAATCACCTGGTGGGCTTGCCGCACACACATCGCTGGGCCCTACTGCAAGAATTTCTGATTTAGTCAATCTGGAGGGGGGCCTAAGAATTTGTACTTCTGCCCCCAGTACTGCTGGTCCCGGAAGCAGACTTTGAGACTCTTGGTCTCCTCTGCCTAATAAACTAAAGTCTACAGTGCGAAGCCCTCTGTAGGATGCGGAGGGGATTCCCACCTTCTGTCTCAGACCATGGCATTAAAAATTAATGAGTGCTTGCATGGTGCTTGCACATGTACCATCTCTTTTAGTCTTCTTGAAGAGTCTGTGAGGTAATAATCACCATTTTCACCCCATTTTACAGATGGAGGAAACAGAGGCTCAGAGGGCTTGAGCAACTTACCCAGGGTCACACAGCTCCATCAGTAGAGAAGCCACACTAAACTCGGCTCCTCCCACTCTGGGGCCACCGCATTCACGGTGCAGATGGCACAAAGGTCAAGGGCGAGTAGAGGTTGGAATCCAACTTGCCCAGCTGTGCACCTGCATGGCCACATCAGCCAGGGGGAAGGTGCCTTTTTCTTACCTGCATTAAGGTATGGCAGAGGCTCTAACAAGTGTCGTCCAAGTCCATGGACATGATGCAAAGGCAGAGCAAGTGGGAGAAACAGAAAGTACAGAGAGAGGGCCATGGAAAGACATCATTTGCACATAATCAGGCGGGCACATGTGGGCATGTGGAAAGAGGCTGACAAAACAGCTGTTCCTGCAGGAGGTTCGGGGGGCAGGTGTCAGCGGGGTGGAGCAAGGGAATCTGGCTGGAGGCAGAGCCACAGATTGTCAGCGATGAGAGCTGCGTCTCCTGCCCACCCCTGGCATGTGTGTGGCATGGAAGGTGCCCAGTGGGTGGGGCAATTAGCCTGTATCCCAGGGCTCCTGGCTCTGTCTCTCGCTTTCCCTCCCACCGCCTTTCTGCAATTAGATTGCGCTGGGTGATAGCTGCCAAGCCGCTTTGTTGCATCTGATGAGTTTATTAATTTCTTGGGGGCTAATGGGAGGGTGGGTGGGAGATTCATTTCCTGACTAGAGCTGAGGGGCTGATTAGTCTTTTTGCTGTGTCCCCAGAGGTGGAGGGTGGGGGTGGGGAGCATGGCTCAGGCCGTCAGTTCTGGCTCTGGGTAAATCATTTCTCTCCCTGGCTTTCGTGGGAGCCTATCTGATGGCTTGAGTTAAGATCAGGAGGGCTGGGGCTGGGGCAGGTGGTTAGTGAAGATTAGGCCCCCTGAGAACAGCAGAGGTGGGAAAGTAGGTAGGGGTGGGGAGAGCTGAGGTCTTATTGGCCCTTTCGGTGTCGAGTTCACATTTTAGGTGACAGGTAGGACTCTAAAGAAGTTCAGTCCTTGTGTCAGACGTGCAGATGCTGACGTCCAGCCTAATTGTTCTTGATGTCCTTCTGTCCAAATCTGGCCCTTCCCATCCTAAGAGGCCACTGGGAGCTAACTCTAGCCATTTTGAAGACAGGGAAAGGAGCCTTCAAGAGAACAGTCATTTCATTTGACTCTGTGGAATCTCAAAACCCAGGAGAGAGCTGCTCTGTCCTGGATTCTTGCTGGATGGCCGAGGCTCCTTCTCTGCTTCACCAGGCCTGCTTTCATGGAACACATGTTGGCATCCCCACCCAAGAGACAGCAGCAGAGACAGGAAAGTCTCGCTTTGAGGAGTCACACAGCTCTGGGCTCAAGCCCGGGCACCACTACTAGAGAGGTGACCTTAGGCAAGCTGCTAAATCTGTCTGAGCCTTGGTTTCCTCATAAACCAAAATGCTGGCACTCTCCGCAAAGTTGGGGGGAGAGTTCAAAGAGTTGATAGAACACATCGAGCACAGTAGGTGTCCAGCCACTACCTTTCCCCTTTCATTTTGGAAACCTAGCAGCTCCTCCCTCGTCCTCCCCACCCATCTCCCTTGTAGAGAGGGGCAGAGGGGGAGCTCCAGCTGGTCCCTTTGAGAGGCAGGAGGTGCTCCAGAGAGCCAGAGGAGGCTCATTGCCTTCTGCCCACACTCCATCAGCAGCAGCAATCTGCTGATATGAAATGCTGGCTCCCCTTGCTTCCAAGTACCAGCCCCCAAGCAAGATGCTGGGTGTGAGCAAACCGGCCAGCCCCACGCAGGCTGGTGGGGAAGGCAGGCAAACGAAAATGTGCGGTAGGACGTTGGAAGAGCCAGACAGGATGGCCATGAAAGCTTGCTTGGAAAGTTACATCTGGGACTAAATCTCAGGCCTCTCAGCCGATGGGTGAGGTGACCCTAGGACAAGGTGGAGAGACTCTTATCTCAGCATCAGTTTAATCTGTCAAATGGGGCCTCCCATGTGGATCTGCTCAAAACTCTGGTTGTAAACTAGAAACGAATGTGCGTAGATCCAGGACCCTTCTGCCCTTGCAGAAGTAGAAAAAGCTGCCCACCCCTCTCCCAAGTGGCATCCTCCTAGAGGCAGTGGAGGGGAGTTTTGGGTCATCTCCCCTTGGGGTGATGAAAGCCTCACCTGTGAGACCATCAGACCTAGCTTGGCATCAAGACCATGATGTCAGAGAGATGGTTACTGCTCCTCAAGACCCCCAACCCTCTGGCCCTACGGTGTGGGGGTTGGGCCCAAGGGTGAGATATGTCTTCATGTTTGTTTGATTTTCCACAGGAGGAACCCAGAGCCCAGCTCTGGTGAGTACAGAGCCACGTGGCATCCACGGAACTTGTGAGGGTTTTCCAGGGAAGCTGCCGCTGGGTGCACACAAGTGAATGTGTGCATTTCATTGGGTTTCCAGCCAGCTGTCAGCCATATCTCCTGGTTGCCCACCCCCAACACTCAGCAACACAAATGATTTGCCAGGGGTTCCAGCTAGTAGAAATATATTGGTATCACACACACACACACGTATTTATAAAAAGGGTTCCTTTGAGAACACAAACCATCTAAAAACCCAATAATGTTGAGGATAGGTGTAGGCGACTTTCTAGAATGGAGAACTGAGTCAGTTGTGCATTTGTTTCCCCCCCTTGAAGTGAAGGCAGTGGGGAAGAGGAAGGAAAATAGTGGCAGGTAAAATACATTGTCACAATGACCCAGTACGTTTCTGTTATTATTCTCCTCTTAGGGATGAGGAGACACGCTCAGAGAGGGTCAGGAACTTTTCGGAGGTTACGCCTTTGAGATCAGTGCTCCTGGGCCTGGCTGAATAATCTAGCGTCAGAATGATGTGTCCAGGATCTTGATTGGCTCTGAGAAGAAGGCAGGGCAAACCATTACCAACCCCACTGATAGATGGGGAAACTGAGACTCAGAAATATTTAAGTAACGTGCCTAGGTTCTCACGGCTAGCAAGCGAATCAACCAGGACGAGAACCCGGGTCTTCCCTCTTCCGGTTCCTTCACTCATTGGACCACTCAGCACCATTCACCGAAGGGCCAAGTTCTGATTCTTATTTAGGGAACTGGAATTACTGAAAGCAGGCTGAAGCAAAAGGGTTTGGGGGCTCATTCTTGCCGCAAGGTGATGTGATTCCACATGTTCCATTCCCTTCTGTGTGAGCGAACGTCCCCAAACTGCATTCCGTTCCTGATTTGTTTTTCTACTTTCCTCTTCTCCTGGGTCTTTACCCCATCTTTCCTTCCTTTCTCAGCAGCCCCCTCCCACCTTCCTTGACCCCCTCAACCCTGTGGAACAGTAACCCTACCCTCATCCAGGGAAACTCCATATCTCTGCCTCCTTCTTTGGCTTCCAGATGACCTGGCAGGGGACTGGCCTCTCAGCTCCTTCCGACCCTGGAGGACTGCACATGACCTCAGCACCCTCTCCCCAGCCGCCTGTGTTCCCCCATTTCTTCCCAGCCCCTCTCTCATTTGTCTTCTCAGATCGGCCAGTGGCACGTGGCGGACGGCCTCAGCATGGACAGCCGCCTCTACGCCTCCAACATCTCCGACAGCCTCTTCAACACCACTCTAGTTGTCACCACCATCCTGGTAAGCAGGGTGGTCCCGGGCCTCCCAGCTGCAGCTCCCCGGGGTGCCTTCTCCAGCTCCAGGCATTCCCAGGCTTCCCAGGGAACGTGAGATGGGAGCTCTGATGGCAGCATCGAGGCCAATTTATGACAGTGTAATTAAACGCAAGTTGCTGCTTCATATGGAAATGATATTTGATGAGTTCCAGAGCAGCTGGGAAAGAGGGATGGTGCGGAGAGACACCACCGTTTGTGGATGCCTCTTCCAGGGGCACCCTGACAGCCCGGGTGGCTGTGCATGGCCCAGGGAAGGGGGCCTTCTGACATAGGTGGGAGTAGCCCCCCCGGGAAGGCTCGGTCCTGTCCATCAGGGTGGCCCCTTTGCTTTCACGACAGCCTACCTTCCTTGGTGTCTACTGTGCATAAAACGCGCCCCTGCAAGTAGATAACCAAATTGCAGTGGGTTTTTATGGCCTGTTTCTTCATTTCCAGATGGCCAAAAGAAAGTTCTCAATCTATAGAGCCAGGGACCATCTGCCTTTTTTTTTTTATTTGATTCCATTCTCTTCGACAATTACCAAGCCCTTCTCCCCACGGGTCAGGCACTGTGCTCATTCCTGGAGACACATGGATGAGCAAGACTTGGTCTCTAGCCTCAAAGAGGTTATAATTTAGTAGACGGTCTGGGTCAAGTGCATTTATGGCCAAGGTCATTGTCTTCTTCCCCTGTGAAGACCTCATGTTTTAAAAGACTTGTCAGTTAAACCAACTACATATATTAAATGATAATTAGTTTCTTCCTCACCCCTCACTCTCCCCTTTTAACAAATCAAAAGCATATTTCCCTGCCTGGCACCGTGTCTTATCAGCAGGAGATAACCAGTGTTGCCATGCTGATATAATTCCAGCCCAAAGCAGAGACTGGATGTACCAGTTAGTCTGCTCAGCCTTATCATTGCTAAACGCGTGAGGTCTGCAAATGTGTCTGTTTCTTTAGGCTTTTTGAGATAATGAAAGAGCTCAGGGACCTCCATCACTACCTTCAGGAGCTCCTAGGGCACAGGAAGACTAGCTTAGAATTCTTGATCTACTGTGGGCAGTGAAATAAAAGCCAGGAAAGAGGCTCATGCCTCTAGCACTTTGCAGGCTGAAGGAGGGAGAGGTCCCATCCCACCAGGAAGGGCCCAGAGAAGAAGGGACACTGAGGATGGGCTCCAAGAGCCAGGGAGAGATGGGGAGGGAGAAGTGAACGAAGGGCAGCATTGTTGGGTGTTTAGCAAGTGCTGAAAAAGGCAGGTTCTCCAGGAAATAAGCCTTGGTAGAGAGAGAAGAGGATGAGGCCAGACAAGTAGACCGGGTCCCTAGCACTTAAAGACTTGAATGCCCCTCTGTTGAGTTTTCCCTTCATGCAGTAGGAAACGGAGTCAGCGAATATTTTCATCCATTTATTCAGTGAATATTTGGGGGGCGCTGCTGTATGCTGGGCACTTTTGTAGGTGCCCAGGAATAGACAGTGCTGGAGTGGGGAGTCAGGGTGCTGAGAGCGCGGCGTAGCGCCGGCGTCCGTGGGGATCCCACTGAGCCAGGGAAATCCGGAGCAGAGACCTGATGGGAGGAGGAGGGAGCCAAGTGGCCGTCTGGGAGGGAATATTCTGGGCAGAGGGAAGGATGGAAGAGACAGTTCTAGCTCCCAGAATTTTGATCATTCCCCCTCTCAGCTGCAGCGTTAGTTTGTCTGAACCAACGTGGAAATGCCAGAAAGATCAGAGGGTGGTGGGGTCACCACTGCCCCTCCCTGAGGTGTAGTAGAGCGAGGCCGAGCTGGGCAGTGGTGAGCAGCGGTCCTGGCTGAGGAGGTCGGCACACAGCATGACAGCTGGGACCTCCCTCTTGTGGCCCTTTCTACCTCTGAAGTATTTCTTGAGTCTGTCCCCTGCTGTCTGTCCCCAAAGTCCATGCCCTACCTGAGGGCCCATTTACTTCTTTCACCTGAGTGTGACCTGACCTCCTTAGAGGCTCTCTTCTCAATGGCTCAGTCTACGCCCCATACTCCCTACCCATTTGTCAGCATGGTCTTCCTAAGGAGGTCGACCACCCAGGGCCCACCGCCCCCGAACTGCCCCTCATAATCAGGCCTGGCCTGCTGTACCTGCTTCCACTCCGTGTGACTTGGGGTCTGGCGGTATGGGATGGCCCAGCATTTCCTCACCATATCATGCCATTCCCTGCCTCTGTACGTGCTGTTCCCTCAGCCCAGGATGCCCTTCCTCCCACTTCCCATTTCCAACTGGAAATGTCTGTGCACCCTTCAAAGCTCTGTTCAGATGTCACTTCTTCCAGGAAGTCTTCCCTGACAGGACTCCTGCCTTCTCCCCATCTCTAGCACTTTGCACACACCTGTCGTGGACTTTCTCCCGTTAGAGGTGGTTGTATCCACTCTACCTCCCCTTCTAGAATGAGGGCTCCTCAAAGGTTGGGGTTCCTGACACAAAGTAGGAACTCAGGGATTGGAATTTGAATATAAAGTTTTCTCCCTGCAGGGTAGGGGGATGTCCCTTAAAAGCCAACAAACATTTGAGAGGGACAGGGGGACATTGTTGGGTTGTACACAGTGCTCAGAGCTTTGGCACAGACTCACGGGACGCTGAGATCGCAGGGCTGTGTTTCTAGACTGGGAAAGGCAACCTGACTCTGTGTGTGCGTGTGTGTGTTGAACACACATATGAAGGGTGGCAGCAGGGCACCTCTGTGTCAGGTGACATTTAATAACACGCTAAGTGCAGTTCAGACACAGAGTTTTTCTCGTGCGTGTGTGTTTGAGACAGCGGCCAAGAGTCAATAATTCGCACCAGGAATGATTATCGTAATTTAGTCCCTGGGGACTATTTGTGGGTTGTCCTTGGCAGGTGGTAATCCTGAATGACTTAATCCCCCCCCTTTTTTTTTTAAGATTTTATTTATTTATCTGTGAGAGACACAGAGAGAAAGGTAGAGACACAGGCAGAGGGAGAAGCAGGCTCCCTGCAGGGAGCCCGATGCGGGACTCGATCCTGGGACCCCAGGATCACGCCCTGAGCTGAAGGGAGGCGCTCAACCGCTGAGCCACCCAGGCGTCCCATGACTTAATCCCTTAAAACTCAGCACGTATCCCTGTTGTCCCATGTTCCCGTCGGGGGACGCGTGGGACATATCCATGATGTATTTGCACAGAATTAGCCGTAGCTCTCATTCCCCGAGCGCTTACCCCGTGTCAGACCCCAAAGTAAACTGTTTGCCTGTGTTACCCCTTCTGTTCCCCCAGCCCTCCTGCCAGGACAGGGGCTCCTGCTCTAGGTCAGCATGCCCGGTCCCCACATCTTCCAGAGTTCCGCTGAGCCCCAAACTTGCTGACATTTTGACTTTCCCGCCTGTCTCCTCCCTCCAAGATGGGCCTTTGGTGTGTTTACTTTGAACACATCAGTGAATTTTTTTTAAAGATTTTATTTATTCATTAGAGAGAGAGAAGCAGGCGCCTCCTCACTGAGCAGGGAGTCTGATCCCAGGACTCTGGAATCATGACCTGAGCCGAAGGCAGATGCTTAACCAACTGAGCCGCCCCGGCACTCCCCACATCAGTGAATTTTAAGTTAACTTGAGAGTAGAGGGTATCTGGGGAGAAGAATTTCATGATGCTCCTTGGGATAATTAAAGGTATCCTGGGATGTTGCCGATCCAGGGGTGGAACCCCCAGCCAAGCCCCGTCCCTAAGGCCATGTCTGAGTGCTGTTCACTCAGTCCACGAGGGCCTAAAGCCAGAGCCAGCTGGGGCTCCTGAGGAAGGGGAAGACCCTGTGCAGGCCCCACCTACATCCTACCGGGGAGCACATCCTAGAGCGTGACTGGACCACGTGTGGCCCTGGCCGTGAGCGCAGGGGGAGTTCTGAGAAGTGAGTTGGCATCAGAGGAGGTGCCGGGACCCCAAGGACAAAGGTGAGTTAGGCTAGGTGGCAGAAGAGGAGGAAGAGCACCTGGGCGGAGAGGACCCCTTGATCCAGGGACAGCATGTGTGAAGGCAGGAGCCCGGCCCATCTCACTGACTTGGCGGTGAGCTTGGTCATGAAGCAGAGCCACGTCGCCTCCGATGCAGGGCTCCCTCTCCGACGCACAGCCTTGTGCCTTCTTCTCTCCCACGTCACACCACAAGTCCCTCCCATCCCCTCCCCTCATGCCCTTGGTCTGTCTGTCCTCCCCAGCCCAGCCTGAGCTCAGCAAACCAGTACTTCAGCACTCCCATCTCTTAGCTTCCAGCATGATGCTCAGCCCTCCCAGCTCGTGCCTGTCCCAAGCCCAGTTGTCCTTGCAGTCCCTGTGCCCGGCTACCTGGCTACCAGTCAGCCTCCCGACGTCAGGGGGCCTTGGCACTCCCTGGGCTCATATTTTGCTCACTCCTGTCATATCCCCTGAGCACTCCTGTCAAAACCTCCTGCTCACCCAGCCTTCGGTCCTGCCCCCAACACACCTCTGGGGCCCAGCACGGATTGCGGGCCCTCTGCCCCCTCCCTCCTCTGCACGGCTGTCCACGTCTCCACTTGCCCTCCAGGCCCACTTCCCAGCATCGCTCTCCCCTTGGCCCTGTCTCCCTCCGTTCCTCCCTGGCACCTGGCTGCGCCAGCTAGCACTTCTCTTCCTTGGTAATCTCTCCTTCTCCCTGGATTCCTCCTCTCTGCCTGCAAATATACCCTGGTCCCTCCCCTCCACAGACACCATCAACACCCCCTTACCCAGGCCCTGCTGCCCCACACCCAGTTTGGGGCAGTAAATCAGTAAATCATGGTGTTGGTGGACACGGGGGAAATCCTCCAGCCCCGTGCCTTGCAGATGGGGAACTAAAGCCAGAGGAGAGGCATGGCCCGGTGCAGTCAGGTGGAGAGGCCATCCGCCCATCCTCCTTTCTCTCCTAACTTCTCAAAATTCTGGTCCTTTCTCTCTCGTGTGCCCCACGTTCACTCCCCGTTCCTGCAGAGTCCTGCTGTCCCCACGGCACCTGCCTTGGAGGGGTCGCCGGCAACACCTGGCCCAGGCACCCCTGCACAGCCTGCATCTCCCTCTGTGGGAACATCTGTGCACTTTTTCCCCAGCCTCCCCCCTCCTGGGCTGTCCTGACCACATTTTCCTGACTTTCAGCTTTTCTAGCTGCTTCTGCATTGTCGTCTTCCATGGCTGCTCTTCATTTCCTGCGGCGTAGATCAGTCTTCTGTCTGCGGTCCCTCTTCTGTTTCTCCTCAGTGCTTCTCCTGCGATGGCCTCACATATCCTCTGCACAGAGACCCCCTCCCCAGGCCCTGCCCCTCTTGCCCTCACTCCCCAGTTTAAACGTTTGGCCAGGAGTTTCCTCCTAGACAGCCTACCGGCACCCCAAATTCAGCATTGCCAGATGCTCTTCCCTTCCAAACCATCCGTGTGAGTGAGGACACCCTCCTCGGATCATCCACCCAGGCCCCTCCCCTGTGCGCCCCGCACCCCACCTGCCGTTGGGCCTGGCCAGCTCTGTCTCTTCCAGCTCCCAGCACTCCATCGTGAGTCAGACTGTGGCTCGGGACCCAGTATCTCACATCAGGAGAGGGTCTGTCCTCACCCCCACATGCTCTGTCTTATTATTTGATATTCTTAATCATCCAGTCTTGCAAACCCTCCCGACGTGCAGGGCTGCACTACTTGCATGTACGCTGTACATCCACCTTGTCCCGGGCTCCAGCACCCCTCCGACCCTAATTCTTCTATTTGTCCTCTCAGCCACCCCTGCACACACTTGTGCTCCAGCTGAATGGAGGATCCATTGTCCCCTGAAGAGGACACGGTCCTCCTCGCTGAGGACTCGATCTTGCCTTTCCCCTGCCTGTGATGCTTTCCATTCATACCTGTTCCATCTGTGTTCCATCACCCTCTGGAGCCCAGTTTGGATTCTCCCTCCCCTGTGGAACCTTCTCTAGATGTTTCACCGGGAAGACTAGATGTTTCATCGGGAAGACCCACCCCTCTTCCCAGGGCTCTCATGGCTGGACGTGCTCTGCCTTGGGTTGCAGAGGGTGGTGCATGTTCTTACCTTGCCCCGCTAAATTGTCGGCAACCTGGTATCACAATGCCCTGCGATAGGTCTGTGTGCAGTAGACAAAAGGAGGGGGTATAAGGAAGGGATAGGATGAGGGTGAGGTCAGATGATGACCTGAAACAAGGTGGAGGGGCTGCAACTTGGCCCCCTGTGCCCTGGGGACCCTTGTGTGTTACTGGTAAGAGAAGTGCCTGGAGGTCGGGAGGGGAGCTAATGGCCACCACCAGAGTAGTCACGCAAGTCACTTCCCTCTGCCATCTCCCCAGCCTCTGCCCCGGCACCCCCATCCCTTGCGGCTGGGACACCAGGGCTAAGATGAGAATGACAGCTGCCCAGTTTTGCTGCAGGAAAACCCGTATTTAATGCTGAAGGGGAACCACCAGGAGATGGAAGGCAATGATCGCTACGAGGGCTTCTGCGTGGACATGCTCAAGGAGCTGGCAGAGATTCTCCGGTTCAACTACAAGATCCGCCTGGTTGGGGACGGTGTGTACGGTGTTCCTGAGGCCAACGGTACCTGGACAGGAATGGTCGGGGAGCTGATCGCCAGGGTAAGGAAAGAGCAGGTGACCTGGACTTGGGGGTGGGCTGGGGAGGGAGATGAAAGGCATAAGGTTGTGCTGTGTATATGCTTAGGAACCATCCACGTGTTCAGGCAATCGTGCATTTTTCACAGAGTTGTCCATTCATTGCACAAATCCTTTCTGAGCCGGTGCTGAGCCCGGCACTGGCCATACCCATTGGTGAAGAAGACCACCATGATCCCTGTCCTGTGGCTCTCAAGGCTCAGCACCTGTCATGGGTAATGGAGGTTTGGACCAATAACATGGCTTTGAGGGCTTGGGGCCCATTTCTGGAAGACCCTGGTGCTTTTGTTTGTTCTGATTATTTACTGCTCGGCAGCACCCCCTGCCAGAGCTTGGACAGACCTAGGAGAGCACAACACGCCGCAGCCATTGACTTTGATGCTGGCGAGGTGCCGCCCAGGGAGAAATGATACAATAACGGGGAAAAGGGATCAACTGTCTGAGCAGGTGGTCACAGTTATGGTGTTTTGTGACTTCTCATGTTATTGCCTGCTGGTGTTAATGTGCTTTCACAGACCTAGAGTCAGGGTGCACTTGGACAGGCTATAGATTTTCAGGGTGAATGTGGGGACTTGGCAAAAATGCAGGTGTGCATCACAGAATGTCAGTCTTCTGTTCGGTTAGAGCAAGGATGTACAAAGTTCTTCCAGCGGGAAATGTCTTCTTGACTCACACTATTAACACCTGTAAAAATTAATTAAGTCATTACTGATTCACCGTCCTTATTTCCATAACCGGGTTTTTGTGGTCAGGTCCTGGTGGTGGACCCTCCGTGCAGAGAGCACAGACCCGGGTTCTTAGTGTGACTTTAAACCAAGCCCTCCCCCTCTTTCCAAGTGAGGCCTCCCATGTGCATGATGCTTTACATTTATTATCTCTAATCCTCTTTATACATACCTTTTAGCTAGTTGTTATCCTCATTTTACAAACGAGCCATCTGAAGCTCAGAGGGCTTGAATGACTTGTCTGTGAAGCCACATGGTTAGTAGGAGACGGGGCTGGGACTTGAACCCAGATCTGTGTAACGCCAGGGCCCTCGTTCTTCCCACAGACGCACACCACCGCAGCTGGACTGTGATGTCACCACGGAAGGGATCCTTCTGTCCCGGCCCTTTCTTGTCTCTTCCTTTTTAGGCTCCCTCCCTCCACATGCTCCTTTCCTTCAGCCTGGCCTTCTTCCTTTCTTCCTTCTTTTTTCCCCTGCCCTTTATCTGTCAAGGTAGTATGATTTTGACACTTCATATGTACCAGACTTGGGACCTGAGACAAATTTTTGCCATCATCGTCATCAAGGATAAAAATGTTAGTTGGACTTTAAATAAGCTGTCCTTGACAATGCATCATGCACCGTTCTATCTAGACAGGAGTCTGGGAAGCTACTGAAGAGCCAGGAGGAGGGGCACTTCGGAGGCTGCCTGGCAGTAGAGACAGCATTTGCAATGACCCAGCGGGGTCCACGGCAAGACTCGTGCAGGGAGCTGGGAGCGCTCCAGTGTGAGTGATTCCAAAGTGAGACCTTGCTCGCAGGGAGAGGCTTGCGCTCAGAGGACTGATCAATCGACAGAAGGCCGCAGAAGGCCTAAGGAGCCCTGGGAGCATCTCACAGGGGCAGGGGCCGGGGGTGCAGGTTTCTTCAGAGAGGTGTCTGTTCTCTCTGAGACTCGAGCCCACCCTGCAGATGACGCCCTCGCTTCAGCACAAAAGCTGCTGCTCTTCTGTACAGTCCCAGACCCCCTCCTGAAAGTTTTCTTGTTTGCCTTTCACTGTGGAGGCGTAGCCCAGTGGTTAAACCCCAGAAAGCTAAACTGTCAGCCCTTTCCTTCTCTTACCGATCACCTTGAGCCTGTGTCTCCAGCCCCCTTGGGCTGCCTGGTGACTGGTAGGGTGACTTCAGGGATGTCAGAGTTAGTGTACTGCCAATCCCCTTATCAGCCCCCTAATGAGCTGTGACACGGACTGGCAGGGAGAGGAGAGGAGTCTGGGGCTCAAGGACATGCAGTTACATACCAAATGACTTAGGCAATCAGCCAGGGATCTTAAAATGCACCCCAGGTCGCCTTTCAAGCCCAAAAGCTGCTGCTTTGGTCTCATCAAGACTTGGCTATGTAGTATTAATTAATTAATTATTGAAACCATTAATTCCATAAATCTGTATTGGACACCTTCTGCTATTGCAGATACTGAAGATACTTTGGGGGGACAAAATAAACAGACACTGCCCCCATGAATCTTACCAGTGAGAGACAAATGTTAATGAAGGATCATGTTAATAGATAATTTCCAGGACGCCTGAGTGGCTCAGTAGTTGAGTGTCTGCCTTTGGCTCAGGGCGTGATCCCTGGTCCAGGGACCGAGTCCGCATCGGGCTCCCTGCCAGGAGCCTGCTTCTCCCTCCGCCTATGTCTCTGCCTCTCTCTCTTTAAATTTTTTTTTAAAATAGATAATTTCCAACCATAAGTACAAGGGGGACAAAGTAGCAGGAGCTCTGAGAACGCACCTGAGGACAGTAGGATCCAGTCTTGAGGGGTAAGGGGGCAGGGGAGGGAAGGCTTCCCCTGGGAAGTGATGTCAGAGCTGGTGTCTGAGGAATAAGAGCTTTCCAGCCCAAAGGCTGTCTGAATGCCACTGGGACTGATCCTGGGCAGGAGTGGGTGATGCTGGGACCCCGCCTCCCCTAGGTTCACTGCTTTGATATGTCTGCCAAGATGTTCCCCTAGGTTTACATTAGTCCTCAAGCCTCCTGGATCCATCCCATTTGACCTCCTCCCCAAGTCCCACAGGAACATTTCAGAGGCTGGAACAGAAGAGCCTTGAAGAAATTTCAGAACCCACCACCCCTCAATCTGTCGCTTCTACAGATGAGGAAGTGGAGGCTCAGAGAGGTTAACGATCCCATAGCTGGAGAGCCATGTTGAAGCCCTGGTCTCTTCCTGCTCATGGTCTCAGAGGACACAGATCCTGAGGGTAGACAGACCTAAGCTAAAGGTGCAGTTCATCCCCTTCTAGCTCTTAGTTCTTAGGCAAGTCATCTGATCCTTTCCAATCCTTCCTCAAGGCTTCAGTGTTCATTCGGAAGATTTTTTTTTTTTAAGGATTTAGAATAACACACACACACACACACACACACACACACACACACACACACACACACAGAGGGTCTGACACCCGGGAAGTGGAAGAGTTGTCTTAAGCCAGGGTTCCCTAGAAAATTGAGCCCCATGGGGGAAGCTGCCCAGCTGACTCAGGGAACATTGTTCCGAGGCCACTGGAAGGAGAGGGGATGGGGGGCAGCAGGCCAGGGGGACACATACAAGGGAGTGTGTCCCGTGCTGCCCATAGCTCTGCACCAAGCACAGCTGAGCGTTAGCTCCTCAGAGAGACCCAGGAAACTGCTGCCTCACCAAACAGCCCGTGGTGACACGGAGGAGAATTTATGTGCTGAGTCTCATGTCCCATTGGCTGAGCTTCCCTCCACAGAGCATCACCTTCCACATGCTTCTGGGCTGTGTCCCAGAACCCTGTGGGCACTTTCAAAGAAGTCAGATCCTGAGGTAATAATGAGAGCACCCCTGGTGCAAGCCACAGTGAGTGGGCATGAGCAGCTGACCCCCTCCCTGCCTGCAGCCTTGACTGCGGCAGGATGAGCCAGTGCAACCCCATTTTCGGGAGGTCCGTGTACTCTTACATCTCAGCAGCCTCAGGAAGTGTCAGGGCTGGAGGCTGGAGGCTGGAAGAACCGGGAATAAGGGGCGAGGTGAGGCAGCAGGAAGGGTCAGGAGGAGCGGACAGTGGGCCAGGCCAGCCAGGAGGGTGGGATGCCACGATGTCAGGGCCTCAGCCACTGAGCACGTGACCGAATGTGCCGTGGATTGTGAGGTTGCAGCTGCCGTCTTTCTTTCTTTTTCTTTCTTTCTTTTTTTTTTTTTTGAAGTAAGCTCTAGGCCCAACATGGGGCTTGAACTCACGACCCTAAGATCAAGAGTCAACACACTCTACCAACTGAGCCAGGCAGGCGTCCCTGAGGGGTGACTATGATGAGGCTCACTGAGGTACACCGGTTGTGTCTCAGTACCCCTCCTTGTTCAAGGAGAATGCCTGCCCCTGTACAAAGCCTGAAATTAAGCCAGTCAGCTCTTGGCAGCTAAGAGTGAAAACAATTGTTCACAGCATCACACTGGGGTAAGCCTGAGATTTCTGCATGGGGACGTAGCAGCCCTGGGCCAGTGCCTCGTGCCAGGGCTCAGGGCCTGTCCTGCAGGCATGTGTGGCTTTGTGGGCCACGGGAGAGTGTGCAAGGGGTGAGGCACACGGGCTGTGTGTGTACAGGGCTGCCCAGCAGCTTCCTCTGGATATCGACATAGCGAGTACAATAAGAACAGCAGCAAGAGAGAAGGCTAGATATAAGGGGGACCGTAGCCCACACACCGGGGCTAGCGGCTACCTGGCTGAGGAATCTCTTCCTTTAGAGAGTCTGAAGCTTACCGGATGTGTGAGTGATACAGAGAGAAGCACAGAGGCCTGGGCGGTGTCCAGTGGGTGTCCTAGAGCCTCAGAGTTCACGTCCGTTATCACCTGCTTACCCAAGGCCGTGAGGCTCAGACACATGGCATATTAGCTGTAGAAGAGCATTCGAGCATGTTTACTGCATCTGTTTGGAAGTCATCAGAATATGTCTCTTGGCACAAATCCCATTACAAGTGGGAGTGTGGTTGGAGTGACAAATGGATTCACATCAACTAGACTGGGTGGGTGGCCTCTTACCCCATGCTCTGTTTGAGCAGCGAAGATGAGAAGGATGACTATTTGGGGAAGCTCTCGAGTCCGGATTTGTTTTGCCCCAGTCAGAGCCTTCCCAGCTGAGCCCACAGCAGGTCTGCCCACAGTGATGGCATGTGTTGGTAGAGGTGTACTTGGCAGAGAGGAGGGGATCAACTGGAGTGGTGTGAAGCGGGAGGGACCCCAGG